TTTTCAATGCTGCCAAAAGAAAAGCAACTTCAAGTGCCAGAAGTTCCCACATGCACAAAACCCATAAACCCCATGCACCAAACCGCCAGACCCTAAACTCCTAAACCCTAAGCCCCCTAAACCCTAAACCCCAAACCACGAAACCCCCAAACCCTAAAACCCTAAACCCTCAAACACACCACAAGCCACGTTCCACCTCGGGTTCGCGCCGCTGCGGCGAGAACACGGCGACAAGATCGGCCTTAAAGGCCAGGTGTGCAGCTTAGTTAAACCCTGAAGCCAGGGTTTAGGGTTTAGGGTTTAGGGTTTAGGGTTTCCTGGGGCAACCCTACCTGAAGGCTGCAGTGTAGTTCCTTTTTGGGTTGGTTAATACAGGGGATTCTAGTATACGACCCCAAGAAGGTACTACGTAGGAGCCTTTGGGTAAACCCTAGAAGCTGAAACGCTAAAACCTTAAACCCTAAAACCTGGAACCCTCAAACTCCAAGACCCTTAGACCCTAGAACCGGTGTGCAGCTTAGAGTTTTGGGGCTCAAGCGGGGCTTAGGCTTAAGGCTTGGGATTTAGGCCTGGGGGTTGCGGGCTTTCATGGCAGTTTAGGGTTTTGGGTTTAGGGGGTTTGGGGTTGCGGTTTACGGCGGACTCTGACGTGCTTGGACTTGGGGGGGTGCTTGGGGCATGCTTGCATTTGGGATGTCGGGATCACGGAGGGTTTAAGGCCTCAGTGGTGCCACTAAACCCTGAACCCCAAACCCTGATGAGGACGTTCGGTGGATTGCGTCGGGGGGCTCGGAGACTACAGGAGCTACAGATGGGGTTCCAAGGGCTTTAGGGCTTTAGAGTTTAGGGTTTCAGAGCCAGGGTTCAAGGTTTTAGGATTCGGGTTCTAGGGTCTGAGGGCTTAAGGCTTCAGAGTTTTGGGGTTCAAGGCCTTGAGGTTTTAGGGCTTTAGAATGTAGGGCCCTGCTCTCGACATTGGCCATCTTTGAAAAAGAGGCAAGAGGCCCCCACTCAATCTTGAACCCCCCCACCCCCCTGAAACAAACATAACCTAAACCCGTAACCTTTTTTACGCCACAATGCCAACAACTGAAAACCCTACACCCTAAGCCCTAAACCCTCTACCCAATGCCCCAAAAGCCGTCAGTGAGCGCAGGGCCGTGCAGTTTGGAAGCATCGCGCAGAGCCATCTTTGTCTCTATGGGCATCTCTCCAAACGCAGCTTTAAAAAAGCCATAGACACGAAGAGGTGGTTTTGGGCTCCTAGGATTTAGGGGTTTAGGGGTTTAGGGGTTTAGGGGTTTAGGGGTTTAGGGGTTTAGGGGTTTAGGGGTTTAGGGGTTTAGGGGTTTAGGGGTTTAGGGGTTTAGGGGTTTAGAGGTTCAGATGTTTACAGGGGTTGAGGGTTCGGGGGTTTAGGAGTTTAGGGGTTCAGGGGTTCAGGGGTTTAGGGTTTTGGAGGTTCCGGGGTTTAGGGTTCAGGGTTTAGAGGTTTGGGAGGTTTAGGGCTGATGCTCCGAAGTTGATGTTTCGAGTCCGTTTAGGGTTTAGGGTTTAGAGTTTCGGGTTTAGGGTTTAGGGATTAGGGTTTAAGGTTTAGGGTACCTAAAAAAATCCTAAAACCTTCAACCCCAAGCCCAGGAGCCGAATCGTTGGCGCGGCGCAGTTAAGGCACCCTCAACCCTAAACCCTCAACCCTAAACCCTAAGCCCGAAACCCTAAACCCTCAACCCTAAACCCTAAACCCTAAACCCTAAACCCTAAGCCCTAAGCCCAAACCGTGCAGGGCTTGGGGAAGAGAGCTCAGTTTGGGAGGGCTTACAGAGGGCTTAGGCGCCTTGGGGGTGGAAAGTTTGCTGTCCAGGGTTTGCGGCTTGGTGTTTAAGGCTTGGGGTTTAGGGTTTAGGGTTTAGGGTTTGGGGTTTAGGGTTTAGGGTTTAGGGTTTAGGGTTTAGGGTTTAGGGTTTCGGTTTTAGGGCTTAGGGTAGAGGAATTGGGCTAGGCCTACAGCCGCCACAGGCTTTGCTGGACCCTGGCCGGAGCGTCCAAAAGTGTCAGGGCCTCTTTTGGATAAGCTGGGGTTGAGGGTGAAGTGGGTTGACTAGGATGGCCCATAGAACCATCAGAAGACCTTTCCTAGATATGATCTCTTGACCCCAAGAAGGGAAATAGAAAATGTTCCCAGGGCATTCCTAGTTTAAGCCTAAACCCTAAACCCTAAACCCTAAACCCTAAACCCTAAACCCTAAACCCTAAACCCTAAACCCTAAACCCTAAACCCTGAACCCTAAACCCTAAACCCTAAACCCTAAACCCTAAACCCTAAACCCTAAACCCTAAACCCTAAACCCTCTGGGGCTCAGAGAGACGGAGAGAGAAGCGGAGAAGACTTTCGGCCACCGCCTTGGCTTAGGGAGCCCAAACCCTAAACCCCAAACCTCAGGTGTAGGGCTTAGGGTTGAGGGATTAGGGTTGAGGGTTGAGGGTTGAGGGTTGAGGGATTAGGGTTGAGGGTTGAGGGTTTAGGGTTTAGGGTTTAGGGTTTAGGGTTTAGGGTTTAGGGTTTAGGGTTTAGGGTTTAGGGTTTAGGGTTTAGGGTTTAGGGCTTGTCCCCAGGCCAGCGGCCAGCCTGGCCCTCCTCTGAAGCCCCCGCCCTAAACCCCAAAGGACCCCTAAGTCCAGCCCTAAACCCTAAACCTTAAACCCCAAACCCTAAACATTAAACCCGAAACCCCAAACCCTAAACCCCAAACCCCAAACCCTAAACCCTAAACCCTAAACCCCAAACCCCAAACCCCAAACCCTAAACCCTAAACCCTGAAGCACCCGAAGCCGACACCAAAGAGCGCTCCTCCGGGGATGCCGCCATTCTTCGGCGGCCTGCTTCCGACGCTTCGGCTTGGGATCAGGTTTAGGGTTTAGGGTCTCGGGTTTAGGGTTTAGGGTTTAGGGTTTAGGGTTTCGGGTTTAGGGGTAAGGGTTTAGGGTTTAGGGTGTGTAGAAGGGAAGCTCGCTGGTCAAGCACCCAGGCCGCTCGCTTGCGTTAGCATCTAGTCCCACCCCAACCACCCAAACTATTCTCATTTAGGGTTTAGGGTTCACCCCCCAAACCCCCCTCAAGGGGGGCTTTCTTGCTTTTTACTTCCTTCCGAACACTAAGAGGAAGAGTGCGGGGGTCCCAAAAGCCTCCTGAAGCGTGGGGCTTTTTGATGCTTTCGAATGAGGGGCGCCCAAAACCCTCGATTTCAATACTAAAAATCCCGCCCTCTTTGACGGGCCCCGGCGAGCCAGCGAAAGCGGTGGCAAAGCTGGCCAGCAGGCCAGTTGTTTCAAAAGGGCTTAGAGGTCCCAGGACCAGGTTTGTCCCACACCCAGAAAGGTCCCAGAAGAAGGGTCCAGAAATTCCCAGCAGGTTTCAGGGGGTCTCGATGGGGTTGCAGGTGAGGCTCAGGCCAAGGCGAGGGCCCACGGAAGGTTCTGGGGCTCTAAGGCGGGGTTAAGGGGGTCCAGGGGGGGGGGACCTCAACGGCTCGGAGTTTGGGGTCCTCATTAGAGGGCTGCAAATGGACAGCGGCGCTCTCGGCAATTCAGGGTTTAGGGTTAGGGTTTAGGGGTTGGGGTTTACGGTTTGGGTTTAGGGTACACACAACCGCAAACCCCCAGCCCTAAAACCCCAAAGGCATTAACTCTTTCGGGCACTCTCTAAGGGCTTTGCTAGGGTTTGGTGGCTTCCGGGGTGTGTGCGGGGTGCTTAGAGTTTAGGGCTTAGTGTAGGGTTTAGGGTTTAGGGCTTAGGGTTTCGGGCTTAGGGCCACCTCCCCGCCAACAAATAGTAAGAGTGCCTCTACAAGTAATTGCCTGATTGGGGTCCGTACCTTACTGGGGATACACCGGGGCATCTCAATGGGGTAATTACTTGGAGTGAGGGGGGGGGGGGGGGGGGCTTGCCTTACACCCGAGAGTCTAAAGCCTAAACCCTGAAATGCCAGCCGAACTTCCGGGCAGCCTCCGCGTAGGGGCGCCGGAGGCGTACCGGCGCGCACGGAAGGTTCGGCTTGCCAAGGCTTCTTCTCAGATCTAAGGCTTCAGGGCCCTTGAGTTCAGGAGCTTTAGGGCTTAGGGCTTAGGGATCTTGAGTTCTTGGCCTGTTGGGTGGACAGTGGAACCTTTGTAATTATGAACAGGGTTTTGGGGATTCTTGTGGTATATTTACAAAGAGACCATGAGGGAATACTACTAGCAAATTATTCCGACTCCCTTATTATCAGGCTCTGGCTGCCACGTTTCTGGCTGCCAGCTCCAGGTGAAAGCCTCGTATGCAAGCCAAGGACACCGCAAATGGCAATTCGCGCTTTTCTGTCGGAATTCGGAGCTTCAAAGGCCTAGACCCCGGAAACCCTGAAACCCTTCAGCCCCTCATGAACCCCTAAGACCCCTGAACCCGCAAAAAACCCCATACCCTGCATGGAGGTTCATGGGTAGTCATATCTGGGGTTTTCAGTGGGATGACTACAGTTACAAAAGGTTGTAACCTTACTTAGGGTACCTATAGCCCTACTTGTAACCCTAAACCCTAAACCCCCCCAAACCCTGCACCCATGAAATTTCAAGTACGAAAGCAAAGAGGTCTCCCTCTGAAACCTGCGAGGTGAGGTGTGCGAGTAGGCCCGCCCCCACCGCCCAAGTAGGGTTTAGGGTTTAGGGTTTGGGATTGAGGATTTAGGATTTAGGGTTTAGGGTTTAGGCCCTTAGGGCTCCTTACCGAAGAAGAACAGGCTCCTGTTGATTTTCCGCGGCCTCAGACGCAGTGGCTTGTGCTGCGGGCTGGCCAGCCGAAGTCGGTAACTGCAAGCAACGCTGGGGTTTCCGAAACGAGGGGGTACTTTATTGGCGGTCCTTACTATAAGAGAATCCTACGATTTGGGGGTTTACTTTAGGGGTCCCTCATTTTCGTAAACCCCGACGCGGGTTTTGGGACTTCTTGGAATGTCCCACCCTCACTACATCTCCCAACGCGGCGTCCCCTGCCCCATGACAATGGGGAGGGGCTGCCGCAACCCGCCACCATTTTGGTCCACCGGGCGATCGTGGATCACATCCACATAGTCCTTCGCTGGATGGGAGAGGGCTCTGCACATCATGTATCAGGCAGCTAGGTTAAACCCTAAATCCTAACCCTACACCGGTTGCGCCACCAGCCACTCAGGATGAAAAGAGCACCTTTGTGTGCTTCATTCACGGGGCTTATAAGAGGAGCCAACACAAGGGGGAATAATCTATCGTTGGGCGAAAGGGCCTACGCTCAGGACGGTTGAGGGTATAAGGTTTGGCGTGCAAGGTTTAGGACCAGCGTAGCGCCACGGGCCTGAATCCCAAACACAATGACAGACGTCGAGAACATGGCAATTGCAGGGTTGAGGGCTGAAGGTTTAAGGTTCAGATCGTTTAACAACATTTACATACGACTTGTCTTCCAGCCTCTTTCATGCTGATGCCGTGCTGTTTGACTGCATCTGGGACGTTAGGCACAAGCTGAACGACCCACCCCCAGTTCAACCTCTCACAGAGCTTCGTCCGAATCACCTTCAACCTTTCTGCCGAAACCCTCCGAAACCCCAAGCAGAGACACTTTCATGAGGTACTGGGCACCCAGGCCCCTGAACAATGGCACCCCCTAAACCTGAACCCGAAATCCTCCCAAATCCCACAACTCCCCAACCCCGAACCCGTAGGCTAGACTGCTGCGACCAGGGCGTCTTGACAGTGGAGGTTATTCCGGAAGTTCTCCTGAGCAGCTGATAGCTCTGTGCTGCTTGCGGCCATGGCTTTCTGGGAGCGTGAGGTTTCCCCCGGAAACCCCAAAAGCCCTAAACCCTAAACCCCAAGAAACCTAAACCCTAAACCCTAAACCAAGAAACCTAAACCCTAAACCCTGAACTTCAAAACTCAGGTCCCAGAGCCCTGGACCGTGGTTTGACGCAGTGGATAGGGTTTAGGGTTTAGGGTTTAGGGTTTAGGGCTTAGGGTTTAGGGTTTAGGGTTTAGGGTTTAGGGCTTTAGGGTTTAGGGTTTAGGACGTTTAGGAGTCTCGGAACCATGATCTTAAGGGCTATAAAATACCTGATTCCCCTGTATGGCCCCTAAAAAACATCTTAAAGAGTCCCTTTTTCCCTAAACCCTAAACCCTAAACCCTAAACCCTAAACCCTAAACCCTAAACCCTAAACCCTAAACCCTGAACCCTCACCCCCTAAAGAATCCCGAAGGTCTCTTAAAAGGGCCGCTCCTTTCGTCCCTTGATGATCCCAAAATCAGGTTTAGGGCGTACAGCCCGCCTGCGATCCGGGAAAAAACCCAAACACCTAAACCCCAAACTTTAAACCCCAAACATGTAAACCCCAAACCCTAAACCCCAAACATGTAAACCCCAAACCCTAAACCGCAAACCCTAAACCCTAAACCCCAAACCCTGAACCCCAAACCCTAAACCCTAACCGGGCCACCTTTGGGTGCTGGTAGTCATCGGCGTTGCAGGGCCAATCCGACTCGATGCGACACACTGGCTCTGCAGCTGCGTAGGCATTCCTGGGCTCTTCGGGTTTAGGGTTTAGGGTGTAGGGTTTAGGGCTTAGGGCTTAGGGCTTCGGGCTTCGGGCTTCGGGCTTCGGATTCGGGCTTAGGGCTGAGGGCTTAGGGCTTAGGGCTGAGGGCTTAGGGCTTAGGGCTTAAAGGATTTCGGGAGGGCTGCGAAACAGCCGAAGGGTCTCGCCACATCTCACAGAGCCCACGTCCGCATCTTCGACGTTCCTTGGGTTGGGAGTTTCGAGCTTTAAGAGTTTCGAGCTTTAGGGGTTTAGGGCTTTAGGGCTTTAGGGCTCTAGGGCTCTAGGGCTTTAGGGCTTTAGGGCTTTAGGGCTTTAGGGCTCTAGGGCTTTAGGGGTTTAGGGGTTTAGGGGTTTAGCGGCTTAGGGGTTTAGGGGTTTAGGGGTTTAGCGGTTTAGGGGTTTAGGGGCTTAGGGTTACGGGCTTAGGAGCTTAGGGGTTTTAGGGTTTGGTCTCACGCGGGTGCTGCTCTCCTGTGCGGCTCCGGGGTTTGGCTTGGCTTGGTTCTGCCCTTTTTTTACACTATTACCCCAAACCCCAAATACCTTTTGGAGGAACCATAACTTACCCTAAGCCCTATCCTAGTGCTTCGGGGTCTCGGGGTTTTGGGGTTTTGGGGTTTCCGGGTTTTGGGTTATTCGGGAGTAAACTCAGGACCCTGACTTCACCCAAATCCCCAAACCCTGAAACCTCTCAAGCCCTAAACTGCCGACTCCGAACCCCTAAAACCCCGAAACCCCGAAATCCCCAAACCCCCAAACCCCTAAACCCCTAAACCCTAAACCCCTAAGCCCCTAAACCCCTAAGGCCCTAAACCCCTAAACCCCTAACCCTAAACCCTAAACCCTAAACCCTAGCCCTAAACCCTAAACCCTAAACCCCTAAACCCCAAACCCTAAACCCCTGCACCCTATCCCTCCCGAGGCGCCCGGTGAAGCGCGACGGCTGCTTCGGCCCGCGCTCTCCCCAGGCATGGCCCGGAAGGCGCCGCCCCTCTAAAGAAGGTTTCGGGTTTGGGGTTTGGGGTTCAGGGTTTAGGGTTTCGGGTTCAGGGTTTAAGGTTCAGGTTTAGGGTTTAGTCCCACACGGGCATTGGTCTCCAGCGCAGGCTTTAAGGTGCGAATAAACAGGGTGGACCTCCTGTTTTTCTTCGGTGCCGTTAGGGTTTAGGGTGCGGGGGTTTAGGGTTTGGGTTTAGGGTTTCGGGTTTCGGGTTTTTGTTTGGGGTTTGGGGTTTGGGGTTTAGGGGACCCAAGGACTGGGATGCACCTTTCACTTCCCTGAAGCCCTTAGGCCCTAAAGCCCTGAACCCCTAAACCCTACAACCCTAAAACTTGGGATGCTCCCCTTATACTAACAGTCCTTGATAGGGATTCTAGTACCCCCCCAAGACAATCCCTATTAAGGACTGTCAGTATAAGGGGGAACGTCCCAACCTAAAACCCTGGACCCTAGGCCCTGAAGCCCTAGAGTTTTCAGGACCTAGAGCCATGGAGGCCTAAAGCCCTGAAGTGCCTGAACCCTGAACCCCTAGAAACCCTAAACACCCTGTAAACGCTTAAACCCTGTCTGCAAACCTGATTGGGCATCTTACTCTGAGTGCAGGTACATTAGTTCAGGGCTATGTATGGGTGCCTGAAGGGTGGACATGTCATGAAATGACAAAGTAAATAAGTGAGAAAAAAAGACATGAAGCCCCCGCCCCGCCCTCTCCCCTGCCCGCCCCAAAGAGCAAACAAAACCCTAAAACCCACTCCCCAAACCCCAATCCCCAACCCTAAACCCCAAACCCTGAACCCCAAACCCTAAACCCCAAACCCTAAACCCCAAACCCTAAACCCCAAACCCAACCAAACGCCCCTCCACACAGACCTCCAGGCCAGTGCCACGCCCCACGAAGTAGGCCAAGCCGACGCAGGTGGCGTTCTGGGTAGGGGTTTAGGGTTCAGGGTTCAGGGTTCAGGGTTCAGGGTTCAGGGTTCAGGGTTCAGAGTTGAGTGTGTGGGTTTAGAGTGATTTCGCGGGTCATACGGGTAGCAACGTAGAGCTATATGACTCTAGTTGAGGGTCTTAGAACCGTTCTTCCAGCTGCACCCGAACCTTCAAGTTATGGGGCCGAGCCCAGAGACCCGGGATATTCCCAGAGTTTAAGGACTGTTCCTTCTATGACCTTTCGGGGCCCTTCTTTCTACAACTTAAACCGAAGATTCCTTCAATGTTCGGGATCCTTTCCTCGACAATTTGACAGGAACACTCCTTCAACAATAGTTCGGCATCCCTGCTGACGACTTTTGTAAGGGGATCCTTCTATGTGGGGATCTAGATTAAGGACCCCCCTATTTTCGTAAACCCCCAAGTAGAAGTGCTCACAAGAAAAACGTTTTGTTAGGGTCCTGGCGTTGCTATGCCTATGACTTTTGCCACCAGGGTTGATGCCCCGAGGCCAAAACCCCAAAAGAAACCCTAAACCCTCAACCCTAAGCCCTAAACCCTAAACCCTAAACCCCAAACCCCTAGACCCGCAACCGATACAAAATCCTCGTCTTCGGCTGGCCTCTCCAGCACAGCGGGAGGTGAAGGAGTTGTTGGAAATCTCGTTGTTGATGGAGGGCTTGGCCTGCCCCCAAGCATTTAGGTGGGGTTTGAAGAGGTTTCAGGAGGGTTTAGGGTTTAGGGTTTCGGGTTTAGGGTTTAGGGTTTAGGGTTAAGGGTTTAGGGTTTAGGGTTTAGGGTTTAGGGTTTAGGGGTCAGGGTTTAGGGTTTGGGGGACCAAAGGATTTCAGGCTCCAACAATTTGGAATCGAGGGTTTTAGTTCCTGGGGTGCTACTGGGAGGATTCCGGATTTGTGGATTTAGGGATGAAGGGATCAAGGGACTAAGGTTTGAGGGTTTAGCTTTTAGTTTTGAGGGTTTAGGGTTTAAGGGTTTTGGGGTGCTAGGGCTCTTGCAGTTTTGGGGGGTGCTTCGGGTGTGTAGAGAGTACACACACGCAGCAGATAGTATCTGTTCCCACTGCAAGTATTCCAAAGCCTCCCCCCCAGCAAGTCTCTGAGGCACCACACATCCCGAAACTGCGACAAGAAACTAACAACCAGCCCACACACACCCTACCACCCTGAACCTGAAACTCTAAACCCTAAACCTCAAACGCTAAATCCCAAACTCTAAACCCCAAACCCTAAACCTCAAACCCTAAACCCCTAGATTCCAAACCCGAAACCCCAAACCCTAAGCCCCAAACCCTAAACCCAGAGTAAGACCCGTCCGCGCCCCGGCGTGTGGTCGGTGGAGCAGCGCGAAGGTGAGGACGGTGTCTGTGCCATTTGGCAGGTCGGAGAAGGGTGCGGTCGCAAGTTCACCTCAGGTGCTCAGGGTTTCGGGTTGAGAATTTACCTGAAGGTACATGGGTAGTTTTAAGTAGAGGTATAAGAACCCTACATAAGGTTATAGGCAATTAGAAAGTTCCCCTACTCATCACCTCACTTGAGAATTTACCTGCAGGTACATGGGCAGTTTTAAGCAGAGGTATAGGTACCCTATACAAACAAGGTTATAGCCAGTTAGAAATCATCTTACCTTACTCATCACCTCACTTTAACTGCCCATGAACCTCCAAGTAGGGGTGACGGGTTCAGGGTCGGTTGAGGAACCCTGACCCCAAACCCTAAAGGGTTTAGGGTTGAAGGTTCGGGCTTGGGGATCGGGCTTGGGGCTTAGCGCCCAGGGCTCAAGGCTTAGGGCTTCGCTAATCCTGAAACCCGAATCACCAAGTTTAGTTCCATAGCAACCCTGCCACGAAAGCCAAACTCCAAACTCCCAGCAGCTGAGTGGCTGAAGACCTGATGCTGGTCGCCATGGGACATGCCCAATCCTGGGCTTTGGGGTTTCGGGTTTGGGGTTTAGGGTTTCGGGTTCAGGGTTTAGGGCTTCGGGTTTCAGGCTAGATTTAGGACTCAGGGTTCCCATGAATCTTCCAGCAGGGTGTCGAACTCTCGGCCCTGACTTGGGGGCTCCATTATGGCATGTACTCCTTGCAGACTCCGGGTTTAGGGTTTAGGGTTTAGGGTTAGGATTCAATTAGGGTTTAGGGTTTAGGGTTTAGGTGTCAGCCACCACCTCTACGAATTCATCGGCTTCTGGGGTTTCCCTCTGAAAGAAGGAGCACGGATGGGGTTGCCACGAAGCGTCTGTTGGACTCCCGCCCATTGCTCATGAGGTTCCGCGACACCTAGCTGTTTATTGGGTTTAGGGTTTTAGGGTTTAGGGTTGGGGCTTAAGGGTTAAGGGTTTAGGGGTTTAGGGTTTAGGGTTTAGGGGTTTAGGGGTTTAGGGGTTTAGGGGTTTAGGGGTTGAGGGTTTAGGGTTTAGGGTTTAGGGTTTAGGGTTTAGGGTTTAGGGTTTAAGGTTTAGGGTTTACCATCCTCAAAAGGCCTTAACATCCAAAGCTCAAGCCCCAACCCCTGCTCAAGCCAGGGTGGCTCCCCTTCCTTGGCCACTGTTTAGGGTTTCGGGTTCAGGGTTCAGGGTTTAGGGTTTAGGGTTTAGGGTTTAGGGTTTAGGGTTTAGGGTTTGGGGTTTAGGGTTTAGGGTTTAGGGTGCCTGGATGTGGGGCTGGCGCCCCAGGCCCTAAAACTGCGACAAGGAAGTCTCAGAACTTAAGATGCGGAACGCTCTCTAGCAACGCATAAGGCGCAAGAAGCAAAGCACCGGGCAGGAGACGAGAACCCACATCAGACGCAAGGTGAGCGACACGACACGAGAGACGGCACGCAGGCGCGAGATAGGGTTTAGGGTTTAGGGTTTTGGGTTTAGAGGTTTGGGAGGTTTAGAGTTTAGGCTTTAGGGTTTAGGGTTTAGGGTTTAGGGTTTAGGGTTTAGTGTTTAGGGTTTAGGGTTTAGGGTTTAGGGCAGAAGATGAGATGCGACGGGATCGCGATGCTCGGATGCGCTCCGGCTTGCATTGCGAAGCTGCTTGCAAGCCGCTGTTGCCTATACGCTTTGTTGGTCAAGTCAAGGGCCTACTCCGAAACCCTCAGCCCTCAGTCGCTCCACCCCTCAACACGAAACTTTCAGAATGTTCAAACCCTAAACCCTAAATCCTAAACCCCAAACCCTCAACCCTAAATTCCCACCCGGCCTGCTTAGGCCGTACCCACCCTTTTCTAGGGTGCCTGGACCCAGAATTATACCCGGCAGCGAGATACACCTTTACTGGATGGACAATGGGTGGTGACATTGGTGGTCGAATACAGCCCCTAGGGCTGAGCGTTGCTTTAGGACCACTTACGTGGTGCCTTATATTTACAAGCGAAACCCCAGGATCCTCCTCTTGATGAGAATACCCTAAAGCCTGCGCCGGAATCCTTCGGAGGACGTTTCCTTGCGGGGGTACCCCCTCAAAGGGTTTTTTTGGTCCCTGCCCCCCCTTCCCCCCCCCAACCCCCCCCCTGGCCCCCCCTCGCCCTTCTGGCCTTGTGGTCCCCCCACCTGCCCCCCACTCCTCTTCCGGCCCCCTACCCCTAACCCCCCGACCCCCCCGACCCTCCGTGCCCCCCCCCCCCCCCCCGGCCCTTCCGAGGCTTCGTCCTTTGTCTGCACAAAAATGTTTGGTTTCATCGAGATTTGAATCGTTTTCATGGTGGGAATTGAGGGCGACAGCCCTAAACCCTAAAAGGTAGTGGTTTGGGTGGTGGCCTGTGAAAGCTCACAGCGGGTGGGGAGAAAGAACCCAGCACCAATGAAATTGTTGGATTGCATTGAAAAAAGATGCCTTCGCGTGACACGCCGCCCCCCCACACCCCTGGGTGTGTAGGGGCGCCATTTACACATGGTACTTACTGCCGCTGCGCGGCGAGACGCCCTAAACCCTAAACCCTGAACCCTAAACCCTAAACCCTAAACCCTAAACCCCTAAACCCCTAAACCCTCAACCCTAAACCCTACACCCTAAACCCTAAACCCTAAAGGGCCAAGCCGCGGAGCACATCTGCGAGTCGAGCAGCGAGGCAGCCAGCGCACCCCAGCCTGGGAAGGAGGGCCCTGCAGTTCCGAGCTTAGGGGTTTAGGGTTTAGGGTTTAGGGCTTTGGGTTTAGGGGTTTGGGGTTAGGGTTTAGGGCTTTAGGGGTTTAGGGGTTTAGGGGTTTAGGGGTTAAGGGGTTTAGGGTTTAGGGTTTAGGGTTTAGGGTTTAGGGTTTAGGGTTTAGGGTTTAGCGGTTTAGGGTTTAGGGCTTTAGGGTTTAGGGGTTTAGGGCTTTAGGGTTTAGGGTTTAGGGCATTAGGGCTTTAGGGCTTTGGGGTTTAGGGGTTTAGGGTTTAGGGGTTTAGGGTTTAGGGTTTAGGGGTTTAGGGTTCAGGGTTGAGGGTATAGGGTATAGGGTCGAGGGCTCGGAAATCCCCCCCAAAAAAAATAAGGCCCTGGGTCAGAAGCTCTGGTAGAAGAGTACAAGGGGCCCTAAACCCGAAACCTGAATCCCTAAACCCTAGACCCTAGACCCTAAACCATAAACCCTAAACCCAAATTAGGGTTTAGGGTTTAGGGTTTAGGGGTGGTTCCTTTTTCAAGGCCCCCTAAGGGAATAGAAGGGGCCCATACTAAAAGTATGTTCAGTGAACCCGTCCTCCAAAGGCAAGGTACGGCAGGGCAAAACGAAAAAAGTCAAAGCCCAATGTTCCGAAAAAAAGCTTCTGTACCCCGAAGCCCTAAACCCTGAACCCTAATACTAAAACGGTTAGGGCTTGTATCCGGCTTAGTGAAGTTCGGGTGCCCAAAACCCTAAGGAGAAAAGCAAAGCCGCAGTGGGTGAAGTTCCCATCCCAGTCGTAGCCTGCACGGGCTCGCAAAGGCAGGACTTAGGGCTTAGGAGTAGAGTATAGGGCGGCTTAGGGGTGTAGGGTGCAAGGGTTACTTGGGGGTTCATGGCTAATAATAACTAGGGCTATAAGTGGGATACCTCTAGTCATAGCTGGCTATGACCTTATTGTTAAGGTACTTCTGGCCCTACTTAGGACTGTCCATGAACCTTCAAGTAGAGCTTAGGAACCTAGGGCGCAGAGATGCGGTTTAGGCTAGGGCCCAGAAACCCTGAGCCCTACCCCCTGAGAAACACGCGATAAACCTGACAACCCGAAGTGTCTGAAAACCGGGTTGAGGGTTTGGGGTTTAGGGTTTAGGGTTTAGGGTTTAGGGTTTAGGGTTCAGCAGCTCTGGGTCGAGCAATCTCTAGTAGAGCCGCTGTCTGGACTCTAGAAAAAAACCCACCCACCCAGAGAATCCCAAAACATTAAGAAATATAAAGTTCACATTTTTCCTCAGTAAGCCCTGTCCTCCAACCTCATTTATTCATTCTGCTCGTGTTTTTTGTCATTCTGCTTGGTTTCCATTCTGCTCGTATGCGTTTCTTTCTGCTCGTATTCATTCTGCTCGTATTCGTTCTTTTTCTGATCTGTTCGTTCTCGTTCCTGCTCGTATTCATTCTGCTCGTATTCGTTCTCTCTCTGCTCGATTTCATTCCGCTCGTTTTCGTTGTTTTTCTTCTCGTATTCATTCTGTTCGTATTCGCTCTCTCTCTCTGCTCGATTTCAGTCTGCTCGTCTTCGTTCTCTCTCTGCTCGTAATCATTCTGCTCGTATTCGTTCTCTTTCTGCTCATATTCATTTTGCTCGTGTTCGTTCTCTTTCTGCTCGTATTCGTGCTTTTTCTGCACGCTCTCTGCTCGATTTCAGTCCGCTCGTTTTCGCTCTTTCTGCTCGTACTGAGTCTGCTCGTACTCATTCTATTTCTGCTCGTATTCATTCTGCTCGTATTCGTTCTCTCTCTGCTCGACGTCAGTCTGCTCGTATTCGTTCTCTTTCTGCTCATATTCACTTTGCTCGTGTTCGTTTTCCCCGGTGACCCTGCCTATTTTTGGCCGTCTTGTTGGTTGTGTTTGGCACACTTTAAGCTGCCTGGCTTCCACATGGTTGCTTTCCAATTAGTGCCCCGGTGACCTCGCCTCATGTTGGCTCCTGCTCGTAGGGTTTGATGAGAGGCCTAGAGGTTTGTCGTATGTCCCCTCTCTTCGTGCTCGTAGGGTTTGTCGTATGTCCCTCCCTTCATGCTCGTAGGGTTTGATGAGAGGTCTACAGGTTTGTCGTACGTCCCCTCCCTTCGTGCTCTTAGATTTTGTCGTATGTCGCCTCCCTTCGTGCTCGTCGGCTTTGTCGTATGTCCCTCTTTGTCTGCTTGCAGAGAATCCCAAGAATTAAGAAACTGAGGTTTTATTTTCAGAGGTTTGTCGTATGTCCCCTCCCTTCGTGCTCGTCGGCTTTGTCGTATGTCCCTTTTCTTCTGCTTGCAGAGAATCCCAAAACATTGAGAAATGTGCGGGTTTATTTTAGAGGTTTGTCGTATGTCCTCTCCCTTCGTGCAGTTGCTTTTCCCCACTCCACCCTCGGACCACCCAAGATGAGAAACACTGAGAAGGGGCTGCTGCGTTGCCCGGCCCCGCAAAGCCTTCATCTTGATCTGGCCCAGACCCAGGTTTTCAAGCCCAGAATAGGGGTCATGTTGGCTCCTGCTCGTAGGGTTTGATGAGAGGCCTAGAGGTTTGTCGTATGTCCCCTCTCTTCGTGCTCGTAGGGTTTGTCGTATGTCCCTCCCTTCATGCTCGTAGGGTTTGATGAGAGGTCTACAGGTTTGTCGTACGTCCCCTCCCTTCGTGCTCTTAGATTTTGTCATATGTCGCCTCCCTTCGTGCTCGTCGGCTTTGTCGTATGTCCCTCTTTGTCTGCTTGCAGAGAATCCCAAGAATTAAGAAACTGAGGTTTTATTTTCAGAGGTTTGTCGTATGTCCCCTCCCTTCGTGCTCGTCGGCTTTGTCGTATGTCCCTTTTCTTCTGCTTGCAGAGAATCCCAAAACATTGAGAAATGTACGGGTTTATTTTAGAGGTTTGTCGTATGTCCCCTCCCTTCGTGCTCGTAGGGTTTGTCGAGAGGTCTACAGGTTTGTCGTACGCCCTCTTCCTTCGTGCTCTTAGGGTTTGTCGTATGCCTCCCTTCGTGCTCGTAGGGTTTGTCGTATGTCCCCTCCCTTCGTGCTCGTATGGTTTGATGAAAGGTCTACAGATTCGTCGCAGGTCCCTTCCCTTCGCGCTCTTAGGGTTTGTCGTATGTCCCCTCCCTTCGTGCTCGTCGGCTTTGTCGCATGTCCCTTGTCTTCGCGCTTGCTTTCCCCAGACCGAAGGTAGAACCAAAAGTGTTGGTCCGGATTGACAAAAAAACTAATTTGTTAACCTCCTGTTTTGTTTTCCCCCACCCCACCCTCGAACCATTCCAGTTCGAGCCAATCCCCAACCCACCCTAGAACCAACTACCCGTATTCGTTCTTTGTTGTCGGGGTGGGGGCGGGGTGCTGCTTGCTTACTTACTGGGTTTGTTCGTGCTTGCTGGGGCGCTGATTGCTTACATTCTGGATTTTTGCTTTGCTTGATGGGGCGCTGATCTAAAGTTCCCCGGTGACCGTGCTGGCCGTCTCGCTGGTTGTTTTGGCTGCCTGGCTTCCACATGGTTGCTTTGGAATTAGTGCCCCGGTGACCGCCTGTGTCTGAAAGTTCCCCGGTGACCGTGGCTCTTTTTGGCTCTCACCCCGCAAAGCCTTCATCTGGCCCAGACCCAGGTTTTCAAGCCCAGAATGGGGGTCTGGGCCAGAAGAGGCGCTTCAGAGGCCATTGTGTCATTCGTGGTTGGCAATGGTTTTCCGCTTGGGAGGGGGGTGGGGGGGGTTGGGGGGATGGAGAGGGTGGGCGGGCTGTGGGGCGGGGGTGGGGTGGGGGGGGTGGGGGGGTGGGGGGGGGGGTGGGCGGGGGGGTGGGGGGGTTGGGGGGGGGGGTGGGGGGGTGGGGGGGGGGGGGTGGGGGGGGGGGTGGGGGTGGGGGGTTGGTGGGGGGGTGGGGGGTGGGGGGGGGGGGGGTGGGGGGGGTGGGGGGGGGGTGGGGGGGGGGGTGGGGGGGGTGGGGGGGTGGGAAAAAGCCGTGGCCATTGGCAAAAAAGCCGTGGCCATTGGCAAAAAAAGCCGTGGCCATTGGCAAAAAAGCCGTGGCCATTGGCAAAAAAGCCGTGGCCATTGGCAAAAAAGCCGTGGCCATTGGCAACTTTCCCGTGGCCATTGGCAAATGCCACTTGCCAATGGCCACGGCTTTTTTGCCAATGGCCACGTTCCCCATTAAGGTTGGGGCCCAACCTTAATGGGGAACGTGGCCATTGGCAAAAAAGCCGTGGCCATTGGCAAAAAGCCCGAAAAGTTGCCAATGGCCACGGCTTTTTTGCCAATGGCCACGTTCCCCATTAAGGTTGGGGGGCATTTTGTGCGAATTGGGTTTGAAAAACCCATTTTGGCGACCAACCTTAATGACATTGGTGGCCATTGGCAAAAAAGCCGTGGCCATTGGCAACTTTCCCGTGGCCATTGGCGAATTTGCCAATGGCCACGGCTTTTTTGCCAATGGCCACGGCTTTTTTGCCAATGGCCACGGCTTTTTTGCCAATGGCCACGGTTTTTTTGCCAATGGCCACGTTCCCCATTAAGGTTTAAATTATTATATGATAGAGAGAGTTTAGGGTTTAGGGGGGTTGGGGTTTCATCCCTGGAACTCCCGAAACACCTGAGGGTTTAGGGTCTAGGGGTTAGGGTTTCGGGCGTGGGGTTTAGGGTACAGAAGCTTAAAGGTTCCGTGCACCCTTTGTCCTGGTCCCGAGAAGGTGTTGTTGAAGATGTCCAGGTGGGAGCACGAGTCCACATCCAGTGCCATGCCGCATGTATCTACCACCTCGGGCAGGGTTTCGGGGTTAGGAGATTTGGAGTTTGCGAGAATTTGTGGACTTTTAAGGGGTTTTCAGGCTTTGGTTTACCCTTCAGGGTTAGGCCTTAGGGCTATGCCTTTGGTTTTATGGGGGCCCTGTGTAGCAAGGACCTCATACTAGACCAAGGACTTCATGCTCAGGTCCAGACAACCAAAGGACAGCCCCAAGCCCCTCAGCCGTGAAGCCTCTTAGCCCTAAGCTCTAAGCCCTAAGCCCACAACCCTAAGCCCAAAAACCCACACCCTAAACCCTAAGCCCTCAACGCTGAACCCCAAACATAGTAGGACAGCCCCCTAAACCCTAAGTCCTTCTAGGTGTGCATTCCGATGGGTTTAGGTTCCCAGAAAACTCGCTTTGGGCTTGAAGCAGAAGTGGGGAACATCTGGGCTCTTTGCGGTTCCCTAAACATACAACCGACTCTGTGTTTCATGTTTAGAGATCGGGGTTTAGGGTGTAGGGTTGGAAGGTGTAAGGTTTGAAGGGTTTAGGGTTTAGGGTTTTGGGTTTAGGGTTTCGGGTTTAGGGTTTAGGGCTTTAGTGCTACGGCCTGGTTGGCGTGGACGATGGCGCCGTCCCAGTTGCCACGGCAGAAGAAGCCTCCAAGCAGCTCTGAAGGGACTGCAACCGCCAAGGTTTAGGGTTTAGGGTTTAGGGTTTAGGGTTTAGGGTTTAGGGTTTAGGGCTTAGGACTTAGGGCTTAGGGTTTAGGGTTTGGGGTTAAGGGTTAAGGGTTAAGGGTTTGGGTTTAGGGTTTAGGGTTTAGGGTTTAGGGTTTAGGGTTTAGGGTTTAGGGTTTAGGGTTTAGGGTTTAGGGTCCAGGGCCCCAAATCCCAAACCCAAACCCCTAAACGCCAAAGAAACCAACACTAACCCCTGAACCCTTCTACACCGAACCACCCACCCTAAAACAAACTCCGAACTAGGTACACAAGGACAGCTTCCCATAGCTGAGCAAGACCCTAAACCCTAAACCCGAAACCCTAAACCCTAAACCCTAAACCCCCGGCCTGCACCGGCCGGCGCCTCACCGTCGCCAGGCGGTCTGCAGGCGTAGCCACTTCTCCGGATGGTCGTGAGGCGGACCTTGCAAGGTGTTGAATGAAGAAAGGGTTTCGGGTTTCGGGTTTAGGGTTTAGGGTTTAGGGTTTAGGGTTTAGGCTTTCGGGTTTAGGGTTCAGGGTTCTACCCAAAAAAGACCATACTTTAGAGAACTGATCATATGAACACTGCACAGGGGCTGCAAAGCGGATACTGCATTGGCACTAGGGTGGCTGGGGCTCCGGAGTTAGGGTTTAGGGCTTAGGGTTTGGGCTTAGAGTTTAGGGTTTAGGGTTTAGGGTTTAGGGTTTAGGGTTTAGGGTTTAGGGTTTAGGGTTTAGGGGTTAGGGTTTAGGGTTTAGGGTTTAGGGTTTAGGGTTTAGGGTTCAGGGTTTAGGGTTTAGGGTTTAGGGTTTAGGGTTTAGGGTTTAGGGTTTAAGGTTTAGGGTTAGGGCTGAAGGTTTAGTTAGGGTTTAGGGTTTCGGGTTTAGGGGTTTAGGGTTTAGGTTTTAGGGTTTAGGGTTTAGGGTTTAGGGCTTAGGCTTCGGGGGTTGGGGTTTCCAGATTGCTTTGGCAATACGACTAACCATACGAAGTCCGCACTCCTCCGCCTCTTTCACCCTCGAACCGTTTGGTCTATGCCTGTTCCTTGCACAAGCCTGAAGTCCTAACATCCGGACATGCCGAGTTCTGCCAGGGAAGTGCCCATCAGCGAACTACTGTTACTGGCAAAGAGAGGAATTTCGGCCTCGGCTCACTTCCCGAAAACCCTCTGCCGCAGAGGGTGTACAAAAGACTGAGTTTGCCTCAAGAGTCCCCGAAGCCCTAAACCCTAAACCCTGAACCCTAAACCCGAAACCCTAAACCCTAAACCCTGCACTACATCGGGCACTTGACCACGGCCCAGCTTGAGCTACACCTTCGTGCTTCTAAGGGGGAGCGTGGCTTAAGGGGGCGTAGGGGGAGCGTGGCTTAGGCACTGCTGTAGAGGTCTGTGGGGGGAGGCTCTTCAAGGATTGCTTTGGGGATCCCCTTTCCCCTTTGAGGCACCAGTCAGAAGCCCCAAGGGTGCCCTTTTTGGTTTAAAGGGGACTATGAGGGAACCCAAACCCCAAACCCTAACACAAGGGAATAAAGGCCTACTCTGGGTCCTAGTATCTTCAGAGCCGCCTCTCCGTAGCCAGCAAAGGACACCGCATCGCAGAGGACGTTCTCGAGGACCCCGCGCTCGAAAGCATTCGCCTGCCTTTGGGAAAGGTGCACCCTGGTCCCAGCCCCGACTTGAACCCCCTCAAGTACTCAACCCTTAAGCAAGTTACCCCGAAACCCCGCCAAAACCACGCAACACCCCAAAAACCCGAAAGTCCGAGAAAAAAAAAAAAAATGCACCTAAGACTCGGAGCCCCAAGCCCTAAGCCCTAGGCCCAGCAGAAGAAGCTGCGCAACCCCGCACCTTGCGCTGAGTCCGGAAGCGAAGGCGACTCCGTAGAAACAGGCGCGCACCGAGGTCTCCTCGAAGCCAAGGCGCATTGGGACTTTGGGGTTGTGGGGTCTGGGGTCGGGGTTTCGGGTTAGGGGTTAGGGGTTTGGGGTTTAGGGTTTAGGATTTAGGGTTTAGGGTTTAGGGTTTACGGCTTAGGGTCGAGGGATCAGAGGTCTCGGGGCCTGTTTAGAGGCCTGGGGTGGATTTGTCTACACCCGGCCCCAACAACCCCTTATACACTCCTTAGACCCCCCTTAGACCCCCCCCAACCCCCCCAAACCCTATATAAACCCTAAACCCTAAACCCCAAACCCTAAACCCTAAACCCAAAGCGTCTCCGACACAGTGTTCCCCCGCGAGGTCGGGCTCTCAAAGTGCACGCCGACACCGGTGCTGGTACCCATCGCCTCACAGGGCTTGAGCCCTCAAGCCCCTCTCAAGTCCCTTCAAGGGTTTAGGGTTTAGGGTTTCAGGTTCAGCATCTCAAGTCCAAGCATTCACTAGTCAAGAAAAATTACAGAAAAACACCCACCCGCCCAAAGAATCCCACAACATTAAGAAAATATTTCACTTATGGAACGACCTTGCCCAGTAAAAAGAGACCTTGCCCAGTAAAAAAAAACAACTTGCCCAGTAAAAAAATGACCTTGCCCAGTAAAAAAATAACCTTGCCCAGTAAAAAAATGACCTTGCCCAGCAAAAAGATGACCTTGCCCAGTAAAAAGATGACCTTGCCCAGTAAAAAGATGACCTTGCCCAGTAACATGTTTACTGGGCAAGGTCATTTTTTTTACTGGGCAAGGTTATTTTTTTACTGGGCAAGGTCATGTTTTTACTGGGCAAGGTCGTTTTTTTCGACGAAACGACCTTGCCCAGTAAAAAAATGACCTTGCCCAGTAAAAAATGACCTTGCCCAGTACCTTGCCCAGAAAAAAAAATGACCTTGCCCAGTAACTCCTTAACATTTAAATTATATGAAAGAGAGGTTTAGGGTTTAGGGTTTAGGGTTTAGGGTTTAGGGTTTAGGGTTTAGGGTTTAGGGTTTAGGGTTTCGGGTGCAGGGCTTGGAGACCTCCACATTGGAGACTTGGGAGAAGTTGCCGTAGATGCAGAGGACGCACCTCGGCTGCATCAGGGTTTAGGGTTTAGGGTTTAGGGGTTTAGGGTTTCGGGTTTAGGGGTTTAGGGGTTTCGGGGATTAGGGATTTAGGGGTTTAGGGGTTTAGGGTTTGGAGTTTAGGGTTTAGGGGTTAGGGGTTTAGGGTTTAGGGTTTAGGGTTCAGGGTTTGGAGTTTAGGGTTTAGGATTTAGGGTTTAGGGTTTAGGGTTTCGGGTTTAGGGTTTAGGGTTTATGGTTTAGGGTTTAGGCCGAAGTTCAGGACTCGGGGTTTCAGGTTTCGGGTTCAGGGCTTAGGGTTTAGGATTTAGGGTTCACGTCCGGGTTCTGAAGGTTTGCGCCGCACAGTCCTGTATACTGGGTTTTCCGGCAGTAGGTTGCCACTTTCCCTAAACCCGAAACCCTGAATCCTAAACCCTAAATCCTAAACCCTAAAAGCTAAACCCTAAACCCTAAATCCTGAACCCTAAACCCCCAAATCTTTCCGTCGATGGATTCGCTCGCGTGCCCAGGCACTTGCAGCATCCCTCGCCCAGCAGATTGTCTCGGGCATCCAGAACCACGCCGCTGACCTCCGAGTGCGAACCTGTCCAGGGTTTAGGGTTTAGGGTTTAAGGTTTTAGGGTTTTAAGGTTTTAGGGGTTTAGGGTTTAGGGTTTAGGGTTTAGGGTTTAAGGTTTAGGGTTTAGGGTTTAGGGTTTAGGGTTTAGGGTTTAGGGTTTGTTCGAGGGTCCCCAACACTGGCTTTTTTGGCTTTCTACACACTAAACTCCACTGTTCTTGGAACCCTTGTAGACAAGCTTGAGATCGGGGTGGAGGCTGTCCTCACCCTAAGCCCTAAACCCTAAACCCGAAACCCGAAACCCTAAACCCTAAGCCCTAAACCCTCCCAACACACCTACGAGGAGGAGGTAGTGCGTGATGGCGGTGGGCACTGCTAACACCAGCCGTGACATCAACTCCGCCGATGATGCATTGGGTGGCACCCCAAACAAGGTCGTGTTCCTAAGCTGCCAGCTTAAAGGGGTTAGGGTTTAGGGTTTAGGGTTTAGAGTTTAGGGTTTAGGGTTTAGGGTTTAGGGCTTAGGGCTTAGGGCTTGGGGTTTCGGTTTTTTCGGCCGTTCAAGCCCTCCCAAACGATTGGAGGTTGCGGGGCCGTTGCTGTTTTTTTAAGAACCCGACAGTGGTTCAACTGGACACCTCAACTCTACCCCCTTAGATCCCGCCCCAAACTCTAAGGACTGAAGACCCCAAGACGAGGATGAAAAAGAGCACGCGCTCCCCAACCCTAAACCCTCGTGAGCCGAAATCCTAGACCCTAAACCCCTAAACCCTAAACCCCTAAACCCCCAAACCGCTAAACCCTAAACCCCTAAACCTCAAATGCCAGGCCACGGGGGTAGCCGGATGCCGTGCGGCAGAAGGAAGGTGCCAGCGCTCAGTCCTGCCTGCTGCCTAGGTGCCCGCACACGAGCCAAGAAAAAAGGTTTTAGGGTTGAGGGGTTTGGGGTTTAGGTTTAGGGTTTAGGGCTTAGGGTTGGGTTTAGGGTTTAGGGTTTGAGGTTTAGGGTTTGGGGTTTAGGGTTTAGGGTGTGGGTAAACCCGAAACCCTTCCTTGCTTCACTTGGAACCTAAACCAAGAACACCTAAACCCTAAAACCTTCCTTGTGTCGTTAGGTGATTGGTTAGATGGCTCTACCAAGGAACCCCTAAGCCAAACCCAAAACCCTGAACTTGTTATTGCCTCCTTAGGCGAACAAAAAAAGGAATAAGGTTACTACTTGGTGTCTGCGCTGCTCGCCGCGCAGGCAGCCTGAGCTAAGCTTTAGGGAATGGGGATTAGCGCTTAAGGGCATTGGGAGTTAAAAGTTTGAGGCTTTTTGGGGTTTAAAGCTTTTCGGGCTTAGGGTTTCAGCTCGAGGGTAGCTTCCCCCAATGCTTACGGCTTATGAGGTTTAGGGTTTAGGGCTTAAGGTTTGGGAAAAGAAGTTGGGGTTCGGGGCCCTTCAGGCACTGTCCAAGAGGCCGACGATGGTGTTGTAGTTCACCTGGCAGCCGTCTTAAACCCAAAGTCATCTTCTTGCTGCGAAGAAGGTTTGCGTTCTAGGTCAGGAACGCTTCAACAGTGGATTTTCAAGACAGGATACCTTTTTTCTGTGAAAGAGTACTACTGTGAAAGAGTACTAGGTCTGGGCCTAGTGGGTTATGGGTTAGGGCTTCAGGGTTGAGAAGTTTCGGGGCTGAGGGTTTGTGAACGCAGTAGTGTGCAGGCATGCCCCATTAGGGTTTAGGGTTTAGGGTTTAGGGTTTAGGGTTTAGGGTTTAGGGTTTAGGGTTTAGGGTTTAGGGTTTAGGGTTTAGGGTTTAGGGTTCCACAAACCGACTCAAGCCGGCCCCCAAAAGCCCCCAAAAGCCCCCCAACCTCCCCCGATAAGCTGAACTCCAATGAGCCCAAACCTCAAACCCCGAACCTAAGCTTGAAACCCTAAACCCCAAACCCCAAACCCTAAACCCTAAACCCTAAACCCTAATCCTAAACCCAAACCCTACAAACCCTACAAACCCTGAACCCCAGTCACCGCCTGGGCCGAGGCCGTGGGCAGGATATGGGTGCAGCTTTGGCCTCCCCGCGTTTCAGGGGTTTAGGTTTAGGGGTTTAGGGTTTAGGGTTTAGGGTTTGGGGTTTAGGGTTTAGGGTTTAGGGTCTAGGGTTTGGGGTTTAGGGTTTAGGGTGTAGGGTCTAGGGTGTAGGGCTTAGGGCTTAGGGCTTAGGGTTTAGGGTTTAGGGTTTAGGGTTTAGGGTTTAGGGTTTGGGGTTTAGGGTTTAGGGTTTAGGGTTTAGGGTTTAGGGTTTAGGGTTTAGGGTTTAGGGTTTAGGGTTTAGGGTTTAGGGATCCTGCGGCTCTGGGATTTAGGTGACTTCTCAAGGGAGGCTAGGGGTTCTCAGCGCTGATGGGGCTTAGGGGCGTAGACCCGCTGTTTCTCCCTAAGCCCTAAACCCTAAACCCTAAACCCTAAACCCTAAACCCTAAACCCTTAATTTCTTTGGAGGTCCAAGCTTGAGGGCTTCGGGCGTGTGGTCTTAGTTGCTTTCATGGTTTGTTGGTTCGTTCTCAAGGCTTGAGGTAGGCGTCCCGCAGACCGAACTCAACAGTTTGGGTTCAGGGTTTAGAGTTTAGGGTTTAGGGTTTAGGGTTTAGGGTCTCGCGTGGGCAGGAAGCTCCACAGCGGGGTTACGCAGGGCTCTCTTTTCCACCAAGCAGGAACAACACAACAAACAACAAGACAACACAAGATCTGATAGGAGTCTGTGTCCTATAACGTCTGTGCTCATACATGCTCATACTGTACACTATACATGATGATTTCTTAAAAAGACACTCTGCTTGTGGCTTGGGCTCCTGTAGACCTAAGCCGACATGTTGCAGACATGGTAATCCAACTGGCTTCTTACTCACTCGCGCTCCCCCTTGGTGACACGTCACCAACTGTATGATGGGAGGCAAAGAGCTTCGAAACGGCTTTCACTGCATCCTGCGGCGTGGGATGCTGTTCCGGAATGAATCATGTTTAGCCTCTTGGAAGCAAAATGCTCCGTTGAAGATGGTCTCTGTATGCTCCACTCCGGCCTGGGGTGTGTCCCCGGCATAGAGGAAGCAAAAGTCCACACACACTTCATATTGGACCTGGCAGCAAAAGGTTCACATCAACCTCCAGCTCTGTGCGTCCACGCCATTGATGCTCACGATGAAGTCCTCGGGCGCCGCATTTCCCTCTCATAGTTGGCTGCAGCGTGGGGGCGGGCCAGCCTACCCTGAGGACGTAGGGTGGAACAGGTGGGAAGTCGAGCCGTAGGGGCCTCGCTTGAAAAAGGACCTCTAGGCTGGGCGTCTACTAGAGCTCTTAGCATAGGCTCAGGCGGGTTCGCGTGTGCGATTGCTGGGCCTGGCACAAACACCTGAACTTCATCATCAGCAAAGGCAAATGCGATAGGGCGGCCTTGAGGCTCTACATCATGCGCCTGCTGCGCTACTTTCGGGGACCTTCGCCTGGGGGCCTCATCAAGATCTGGGCCTTCACACTCATCTTCGGGCTGTTCAGGAATGAAAAGCTCTACAGTTTCTGGGGCTTGGCGTCTCGGCCTGAGGAGATCCTTGGCTTGACGAAACACTGCCCTCAAACAAGCCTTAAGTGCTTCCCAAACAGCAATGGATGTGATTGAGATTTGCAGCAAAACACAGAGCAAAAACGACCACTCTTTACTGCTACGAACCCTGTCCTGGTCCTCAGCCGCAATAGCAAAGCACAGACAGACTGTCAGTATCACTGTCCTGGGGCATTCATGCGCATGTCGTACTTGAACAACCTTAGTCGCAGACACAGGCTGGTCCTTAGTGAGGGACAGGCACTTAGTGAGTACTGTTTGCTGCCACACTTCGAAGCATCGAAGAAATTGCCAGCTCGGTATGATCTTTGTCTGCAGTACCTGCTCCAGCGTGCCCTCTTGGACTGCGTCCTCATCAAGAATTTCCGGACAGGATGTTTCGCACACGCAGACTACAACCGAACTCTCGCCACGCAAGCTCAAGGCACACAACTCACACGGCAGCTCTTCGCGCTTCACAAGCAACTCAGAAAGGATGGTGCCCTCGCAGGCCTCCTTGTCACACGCTCTGACTGGCGCGTCTTCAAGGTTCTTTGGCCAAAAAACGTCGAAAAGCAACTGCACATCGAGCTCAACAAAGTGAGCTTTACAACTCTCAAGCACCGCAGCACCGCCACGCGGCTCGTTCAACGACAAGTCTGGCACGGCACGCAACACAAGCTCAAACAGCTCCTCCGCAAACGTTGCAACCGAGCACGCACTGTCAAGCTTCACAAGCAACTTGCTGCAAACAACACAGTCACGCTCACAGCAACTACGGGTACAAGCGACGGCCTGCTCTTGAGCAACAGGACTTACGTCTCGACTTTCAATAATTTTTGGGTTCAGGATTATGCCATTTTTAGGGTTTTCGGGCTTTTGAGGAACTGCCACCGGGGTGGCTCCCCCCTCCTTTACAGCAGTGTCAAGTGTTGTGGCAACTTCGGCCAAGAGCTTCACGCACACAAGGAAAACACGCAAGCAATGGCAACCAAGCAAGTCCAGCTCCTTAGGAGCGCACGCAAGCAACTCACAACAAGCATGTTTATGGTTTTGGGTTTTTCTGTTTTGCTTTTTGTTTTTTGTTTTCTGATTTGGGGTACCTCCCCCTTGCTGCTTAGCAGCAAACGCCAACAGAGCAACACAGCGGACATGCACCACACACACACACACCTTTTCAGATCACAAAAGAAAGCCACGATACTGACCGTCAACCACAAGAAGGCCACAAGCGAACAACAAGCCGGCCGATTTGCCCTCGGCACGCAAAAGAGCGCAACGGATTGATGATACAGACAAACCAGGGCGCACCAACACGAAAGCGCTAGCACCACCAACTTCAGTATAACGGCGCAGCGTCCACGATCATGCTCTTTCTGATGAAACACTTCATTGCTAGCCGCACGCGGCCAGCGTTGAGACTTCTCTCCACTCGGGTCCCACCCCGTCATCTCATCATCGCGATGCGGGTGCCCCGGTGGCTCATTGTCTCCATTATCCCCTCTACAAGCGCCGGGTTTATCTCGACCCACCCGGTGTAAAGTCGGCCCAACCCCTGCGGCACACAGCAAAACAAGGCAGAGGAAGGAAGTCACCCCAGGCGGTGTAAAGTCGGCCCAGCAACAGCGAAACCCCAGGGGCACATGGCTTTTGAGAGCTTTCACGCCTTTTTACAAAATGGCACCGGAGCTGTGCACAGTGGGTTGAGAAGCCTGAAAACAGCATTTGTAAGCGGTTTTGAATTGCGAAACTGCAAGGGCGCATGGTTTTTCGGTTGGTTTTACGGCCATTGCTGCATGACTCTCGCCCCTGCTGAGCAACTTTGGTCCGAGGGACTTCCCCCCATTCGCCCCTGAGCAACTTCGCATGCAGTGTGAAGGAAAATCCATTGTTTTGGGGAGGGGCATATTTGGGGCCCTGCGCGAGGGTCCCGCGACCTTGCGCGAGGCCCGCGCGAGGTGAGGCAAGGCACTGACTGGCTTTTTGGTATAAAGAACAATACCTCCCCTGGGAGGCCCCTGCGTCTCTGAGAGCCCCTTGCGAGGTTGTTGAGAGGCCTCTGTGTTAGGGTTCTGGGCTTCGGGGTTACAGCACAAACAACGATCCGGAAATGTTCCAAAACCATGTGCACAGTACTACAAGACCGCAAAACTCTGGGTCTGATGAAATATAAGATATGTTGGGGATATGGGAAAGTCAGCCCAAACACTGCGGCACATGGGCTTGGCACGACTTCACCCCGGCAGGGTCGACTTAAACCTACCACTCGTAGCAGCTTCCACGCTGCACTCAAGGACAATGCCACACCCTCGCCCTTCGTCAACTGGTCCGCCCGCGTCTTCAGCAACACGCCAAGCCCCCGGCGAAGCCGAAAGTTTATACCACATCTGACTCCAACACGTCCAACCCACGACGAAAACGACATCGCCGCAACAAGGAGCGGACATTCCAGGCACCACAAAAGCAATCTGACCGGCGCCTAGTTGATCACACGGCCTCTCCCCCGAACTCTGTTCTGGGGGCTCATTATCCTTCGCCCTCGGCCCTGAGAGCTTCTCAATCTTAGAGTCCAAACCTACTCCGGCCGGGATTTGTTGACAGGTTTGGGATTGTAATGAAGGACGGCCATTTAAATGCACTCTCAACCACAAGCTCTCAAACTCAAGCTTCAAGGACTCGAGCTCGTCCGCACTCTGACTCAGCACTCTCGCTGTTTCAACACACAGCGTCAACTTGCAAACGTTGTGAGGATGGTTTCGCTCAAACTCCTCAGCAATATCACTCAAGACGTCGCTCCCAGACGGCGACTCAAACGTTTTGATGTTGCGTGGGCTCTCGGCCTGGGGACTTCCCCGGCTTGCTTCGAGAGCCTCGGCCTCATCTCCCAACAACTCTTGAGGTGTTTTTGCTTTCGGGGCCGCCAAATCAGCCACGTTGCTGAAAAACCCTTCCGGCAGTTTTGGTTTTAGGTCCGCCCCAAGACCTCCTTCAACACTGCCCCCACCAACATCCAAGAGCTTTGACGCCTCCTGCGCACCTGACGTCCTGACAGGTTGGTGCGACCTTTCACGGCTTTCATTCCGATTCCCAGGCTCTTGGGTTTGGTTTGGGTTCCTAGTGGGAGCGACGGGTACAAAGGGTGACCTCGCCCTGGGGTTCAAAACCTCAGCTACGGACATGGCCTTTTTCTCTAGTTTCAATCCTTCGGGCGTGATTCGCCAGGCGTACTGTGACCCTTCGAGCTCGACCACACCCGCACTCGGAGCCTGGGCCTGGGCCTTAGTTGGCGGTCACATTTGGCTCATTTCCCCACCAGGTCCCGTCCCAGTTTCCTCAAGGTTAGCTGGCTTGCCTGTCACAGCTGGTCTGCCATCGCCAAAGGGATCTCTATTTCCGGACTGAGTCGCAACAGGTGGCGTGCCATAATCAGGAACTAGCTCTCGGTCATCAACTTCTCTAAGTCCCGATGATTCAAGGCCTCTCACACCACCACGCTCCAGAGTCGAAAACTCACTCAATCCAGTAACGCTGCAATGAGCTGGCGATGCTTCCCTGGCAGCAAGTGCCTCCGGTTCCTGTGGCTGTGTCGCCAGCGCAACAGGGTCAACACGATGTACTTCTGCAGGACACGAAGCTGGCTCATGGGGCACATTGTCCCTGGCTGTACTTGCTCCGGCCTCAGGAGTTTCCTGGGCTTGAGGTCCAAACTCATATGGCGGTTCACGTTCAGATTCATCGCCTTCTCTTGTAGCTGCACCTCTTTCCCCAGGGTCCTCCTGCACCATCTGTTGTGCACGACGAAATTCCTGCTGTACTGCATCTGACCAGAAAGGATTCGGGAGGTTTGCCATGGCAAGGTCTACTTTCTACAGGGCCCTTTTGCTTAGCGTTGGGCTCATAACCCTCGCGTGGGCAGGAAGCTCCACAGCGGGGTTACGCAGGGCTCTCTTTTCCACCAAGCAGGAACAACACAACAAACAACAAGACAACACAAGATCTGATAGGAGTCTGTGTCCTATAACGTCTGTGCTCATACATGCTCATACTGTACACTATACATGATGATTTCTTAAAAAGACACTCTGCTTGTGGCTTGGGCTCCTGTAGACCTAAGCCGACATGTTGCAGACATGGTAATCCAACTGGCTTCTTACTCACTCGCGAGGGTTTAGGGTTTAGGGTTTAGGGTTTAGGGTTTAGGGTTTAGGGTTCAGGGTTTAGGGTTTAGGGTTAACCCTTAAGGTTGAGGGAGATTTTTATGGGTTCGTGACCCTAAACCCTAAACCCTAAGCCCTAAACCCTGAACCTTAAACCCTAAACCCTAAATCCTAAACCCTGAAGGTGCAGAAGTATATTGCTTCATTGAGACAATTGGGCTCTTTGGGGTCTTATGCTGCAGCTCACCACACCCGCCAACTCATCCGGGCAAGGGTATTTCAAGTATAGAAGTTGCCAGGATTTAATCAGGGTTTAAGGTCCTAGACCCTAAGCCCTAAGCCCTAAACCCTAAACCCCAAACCCTAAACCCTAAACCGCAAATTTAGGGTTTAGGGTTCAGGCTTCAGGGTTGCAGGGTTCCATATAGCACTTGAATCCAGTCTTTGTCGTGGCCTCACAGGAAGCCCGCGACTTTCCATCCTCACCCCTGAACTCAAGCCCAAGTTCTAGATTTTCAATAATTGACTTTTTGGGGGTTCTTTTTTTCCGGGGTGCCGTACGTTTGAGGGACTCCAAAGAAGGGCCCCCCATTTAGAGAGCTACGCATGTAACCCCTCAGCTGCCCTGAATCCTAAGCCCTCCTAAACACCACTTGGGGCGCCGTCTCAGACCTCCGGCCAGGCTCCAGGAGACGAGAGGAAGCAGAAGGTACAGGAAGGCTGCAGCCATCGCAGGACTGAAGGGTTCGGAACCGAGGGTAACCCTGCACCGAAAGGGAACCCTCAAGCCCTAGCCCTAAACCCTAAACCCTAAACCCTCAAAACAGGTCTGATGTGTGTCGGTGACTCTGGAGGCCTAGGGCCCGGAGTTGAGGCTGCGGACCCCGCAACTCCGAGCCTTCAGTTTTTCTGGAGGGGTGCTAGGGTTTAGGGGGCTTGCGGTTTAGGGTTTAGGTTTAGGGTTTAGGGTTTAGGGTTTAGGGTTTAGGGTTTAGGGTTTAGGGTTTAGGGTTTAGGGTTTAGGGTTTAGGGTTTAGGGTTTAGGGTTTAGGGTTTAGGGTTTAGGGTTTAGGGTTTAGGGTTAGGTTTAGGGTTTAGGGTTTAGGGTTTAGGGTTTAGGGTTTAGGGTTTAGGGTTTAGGGTTTAGGGTTTAGGGTTTAGGGTTTAGGGTTTAGGGTTTAGGGTTTAGGGTTTAGGGTTTAGGGTTTAGGGTTGGGGAGGTTTAAGGTTTAAGGTTCGGGGCTTTCAAGGTTTTAGGGTTTAGGGATCTTTGGTGTTTAGGGATCTCCTGGGGCGTTTGTGGTTTCAGGGGAGGGGATGTTCAGGGTTTGGAGTTGAGGGTCCAGGGCTTTCATTCGAGGCGTTTAAGGGTTTACGATAGGAGTTCTGCATCCTGGCAAGGGCCAATTATGGAGTGACATGTGCTTCCTGTTTCTGGTTCTTAGTTTTCAAACTACCACATAAATGGCGTATACTGTCTGGGGGGGATGTGACGCATGGCATTCGATCTAGAAGCTCACAAGAAGGCTCGAGCACACGTACGAAAGCATCGAGCGAAACCCTATAAACCTTCAACCCTAAACCCTAAACCCTAAACCCTAAGCCCTAAACCCTAAACCCCTAAATCCCAAAAAAAACCGCCAAGAGCCAAAGCCTCCGGGCACACCTCCCCCGAACCTTTCAAGCCTCGGCCTGGAGCTTACTTGGAGGTTCAGGGTTTAGCGTTTAGGTTTTAGGGTTTAGGGTTTAGGGTCTAGGGTTTCGGGTTTAGGGGTTAGGGTTTAGGGTTTAGGGTAACACAGTTATAAGTGTAGCTATCACTCACTCATAAGCCCCTTAAGTGCCCTAATATGGTTATATAGGTACAGTTATAATTGGTTACTAAATACCAAGTAGGCCACAAAAGGGAATGTCACTCCACAGAACCCACCGCCCGGAGTGAGCGGAAAAGAGTTAGCAGTGGAGCGCTCTAAGCCCTCCACCCTAAACCCTAAACCCTAAACCCTAAACCCTAAACCCTAAACCCGAAGCCCTAAGCCCTAAACCCTAAACCCTAGATTTAGGCTTGAGCTTCAGGATGACAATCAACTTAGGTTTAGGGAGTTTAGGGCTTAGGGCTTAGGGCTTAGGGTTTAGGGTTTAGGGTTTAGGGTTTAGGGTTTAGGGCTTAGGGCTTAGGGCTTAGGGCTTAGGGCTTAGGGCTTAGGGCTTAGGGCTTAGGGTTTAGGGTTTAGGGCTGGGAGTTTGCAACCCATGTCGGAGAACGATTTCAAGCTATTATAGACTCAAACGTGGAGATATGAAGATTCTGAGAACACCCGAAATTTTTATGGTTGCCTGAAACTCTACATACCGTAAAGCCCTAAACTCTAAATGCCCTAAAGCCCCGAAAGGTAAAAGCTCCAAACCCCTAGAAGCGCCTAAAGCCCTTAAACCCTAAAACCTCTCAAACCCTAAACCCCTAAACCTCTTAAACCCTAAACCTCTGAACCCTAAAACTCTAAACCTCAGGGTTTGCGGGCGTTAGGTTGTTTAGGGGGCAGGCGCTTGCCCTACAACGCTTAGGGTGCAGGCACCAGGGCTTGGCATGCCTACTGACTCGGTCTCAAACCTTGCGCCACAACTCGGAAACCGAGTTCGCAGGCACAGTGGCGTGCGTGTTGGGGGAGGGGGGGGGTTGTTTAGGGGTTAGGTTTTAGGGTTTAGGGTTTAGGGTTTAGGGTTTAGGGTCTAGGGTTTAGGGTATAGGGAAGGACAACTTTTCTCCTGTTCCGAAACCACATCCGCCGTCCACCAGCTCAGAGAATAGCCAAACCAGCACCTGACAAGGGTCACACCCGACACACCCCCCCCAAGAGCCTAAACCCTAACCCCTACCCTAAACCCTTAACCCTTAACCCTGAACCCTGAACCCTGAACCCAAAACCCCAACCCTGAACCCTGAACCCTAAACCCGACCTGTGGGTCTTCTGAGTTCTTTTCCACCCTAAACCTTCCACCGAGTACAGGGGGGGTTTAGGGCTTATGGACCTAAGGGTTTATGTTAGATCGACGTACACAGATTGGCAAGTTAAACGCCCTGCACCTGAACTAGGGTGTAGGGCGAGTGGGGCACGATGGGCATCCATCAAGGCATTCAGACCCCTAAGGTTGTACCCCTACTGGTCCCCTTTAATATCCTCCTCATATGCCCCTTATATTCCCTTAGGGATCCTGAAAAAAGGGACCCCAAGACCCAAGGGTACAACCTTAAGGGTCCCAGGTAGAACGCCTAGAACCTACGCCTGCTCTTGAACTTGCCTACTTAGAGGTTCAGGGCACTTAACCCATTAGAAACTGCATTCGCTTATTGCCCGCCCTCAAGTACCCAAATGTGGGGTATAACTGAGATATCAGGAGGAAAGTTATCAGTGGGGTTCACAAGTACTACAAACCTCCACGCAAGCCCTAGGCCCCCCCCTAAGCCTAAGCCCAAGCCTGCCGGCTCCACCTCCAAGTCTCTCACAAGGTCAAAGGTTTTGCTGCATCTCTCCTGATGACCTCTAAACCTGAGCACTGAAGCCATCTAACTTAGGGATGGCTGTAAGCAAGGGGGTTGCTGCTAGGTCAGCTTTTTTTCCATGCGCGCAGCTCTCAACGGTGCGCGTTCTCCTCGTATAAGTCCCCCCCCACTGCTTCTGCTTTTTGTTTACATGGGGTGTGTAGAAGGAGCTCACTCGTTGAGAGCGAGACATGCAGTGAAGGCTATTTCGGATTCAGTGGATCACCCCGTAGACTTTGCCATGGTGGCCTTCCTGAGCCCTCAAAACCCTACTCGGGGCTTACGATGTCAGGGGTACCTTGTTGCGGTCCTTAGTATCAGGGAATCCTACTATTCGGGGGTCTAATTTAGGGGCCCCTATTTTCGTAAACCCCATCTCCTACCGTGAGCTTGCAAGGGAAGCCTGCTTCGGGCCATTGTTTGGGAACTTGAATTCAAGCCGGGTGTCCTAAAATGCTTTGTTCAACTTTCTGACCCTAACACTCAGATTTTGGATGTTCCACGACCTACCCACTACCGAGACCAAGCGCGGCCAAGCAGGAGGCATCTGCTGAATCCTGGTGCCCTCATGACTTTGTCGGCGGCTGGTCCCCATCCAGCTTGTCTTGTCAAGGCGGAAATCTGTCGATTTCGGGTGCTTGGGCGGGAGGCGTGTTTCGAGCAGGCGCACACGTCAACAAGTCTTGTCTCACCCCCCAACGCAGGACAAAAGACCGACAACAACTGCACGTGAGGCAGCCAACACCTCCCAGGATGGAAAAAGCAGTGCCCCTCATCAGCCAACCACTCAACTCTCAACCCTCAAATTGGGATGTTCCCCCTTATCCTAGCAGTCCTGAATAGGGATGAGAATAGGGGGTACTATAATCCCTATTCAGGACTGATACTATAAGGGCGAACATTCCAACCCCCCGAGCCTAAAACCCTCTCTACACTACAACACATTCTGTGAAGGTGCCTGTCCGAAGGCAAGCCTTGTGAGGGGGGCCAAGCGCAAAATGAAGTCATGCAACAAGCCGAGGACTTGATTTTGAGTTCTTGTGGAGACCCCATGATACCCTAAACCCTAAACCCTAAACCCTAAACCCTAAACCCTAAACCCTAAACCCTAAACCCTAAACCCTAAACCCTAAACCCTAAACCCTAAACCCTAACCCTAAACCCTAAACCCTAAACCCTAAACCCTAGACCCTAAACAAACCCTCAAAACCCCACTCTGGCGGCTTCACTTCGCTTCCAGCTCAGCCGCAAAGCGCCGGAGCCGAAGGTGAACGAGGTGCATGAGGCCTATGCCTCCGGGGCTTTGAGGGTTTAGGAGGGTTTAGGGTTTGGGGTTTCGGGTTTAGGGTTTAGGAGGGTTTAGGGTTTAGGGTTTGGGGTTTCGGGTTTAGGGTTTAGGGTTTAGGGTTTTGGGTTTAGGGTTTAGGGTTTAGGGTTCCGGGTTTAGGGTTTAGGGTGGCTGGTTCTTGGTAGGGAATGAGGGAGAACTAGGGCCCAAAATACGCCCCTTAAGGGAGTATATGAGGTACCTCATTCCCTCATTCCCTCATTCCCAAAACTCGAAACAAGCCAGCTTTCAGGGCTGCCGGTTTCAAGGATTTTGGCCTAGGGTTTCGGACTGCAAGGGCTTAGGGTTTAAGGGTTTAAGGGTTTCAGGGTTAAAGGCCTTAAGGCTTCAAGGCTTCAAGGCTTCAAGGCTTCAAGGCTTCAAGGCTTCAAGGCTTCAAGGCTTCAAGGCTTCAAGGCTTCAAGGCTTCAAGGCTTCAAGGCTTCAAGGCTTCAAGGCTTCAAGGCTTCAAGGGTTTAAGGCTTTAAGGCTTTAAGGCTTGAAGGGTTTAAGGGCTTAAGGGATTAAGGCTTTAAGGGTTTAAGGGTTTAAGGCCTTAAGGCTTCAAGATTTACGGCTTTAAGGGTTTAAGGGTTTTAAGGGATTTTTGTGTTTTAAGGGTTTGGGGCTTCAGGGGCTTGGGCCTCCAAAAGGTTTAAGGGCGCGAAGCTACCATTAAGGGGCAGGTTGCCGACGTGCCCCATGGGGTTTAGGGGTTTAGGGTTTTAGGTTACCGTCTAGGGTTTAGGGTTTAGGGTTCCGGGTTCAGGGTTAGAAAGCAGGTCATCGTGGCGTGCTTGTCGTGTTAAGGGCGTGGGCTCGGGATCGCGGGAAGGGGGCATTGGGTTTAGGGTTTAGGGTT